CCTAAAGCAACAGGAGCAAATGGAGGTTCCAAACGAGGCAGGTAATCCCTCATCCTCTGGCTACCAGGCAGAAGGAGGGGACCTAAGAGATGGGGGAGGCTGGAAACAAGTCACCGCTCAGGGAGGCAGGAAAATCCTCTCCTGACCTCCCTCACCCTCCATGGTGCCCCTTCTCAATAGATTTGGGGCCCAGGAAGTTTTGAATAAAGAAGAGAAGGAGGAAGAAAATGAGACAAAGGAGAAAGACCAAGGTCCACCAAGGCTGGGTCATTCTAGACCAGGTATTAAAACCAGTTCTAAAAAGAACCCCAGAGGAGTCAATGTAATGGGTGACTCAATTCTGAGGGCTGTCAAAGGCCCAATATGCAGTCCAGACCCACTTCATAGGGAAGTCTGCTGCCTCCTTGGGGCCCAAGTCAAGGACCTCACAGCTAAACTCCCTGCTCTAGTGAGACCCAAGGACTACTATACTTTCCTGGTTTTTCAGGTAGGTGGTGATGACATTACCAGGAGAAGTCCTACAGCAATGAGGAAAGATTTCATGTCCTTGGGGAAACTGATTAAGGGGTCAGGGGCACAAACTGTGTTCTCCTCCATCCCTTGAGTTGTAGGGATGGATGAAGAATAATACCAGAGAATTCAACAGATGAATTTGTGGCTCCAAGACTGGTGTTACCAGCAGGGCTTTGGATTTTTCAATGATGGGTTGGTATACAGGACACCAGACCATTTGGCATTAGATGGGATGCACCTGTCCTGGAGAGGGAAGAGGATCTTGGGGCAGGAGTTAGCTGGGCTCATTGACAGAGCTTTAAACTAGATTTGAAGGGGCAAGGGGGCAAAACATCGGCCCATCTGAAGTGCATGTATACCAATGCACACGGCATGGGTAACAAACAGAATGAGCTCGAAGCTGTGAAGAAAGGGGAAAATTATGATGTTGCTATTACAGAAACATGGAGGGATGTCTCCCATGACTGGAGTGTGCCAATTGATGGCTACAAGCTCTTCAGGAGGGAAGACAAGGAAGGAGAGGTGGTGTGGTGGCTCTGTATGTCAGGGGAATGAATCTGTGTGGAGAGATATAAGCATACCTGTCTGTTTCTGGTTTTCTTCCATGGATTTTTATCTTTGTCTGTAGTGTTAAATATATAGCATGGAATGAATGAATCTTAAAAACATTATTGGAGCTCACTCAGTTCTTTCAGCAAAGACCATGCATTTAAAAAAATCTGAAAGTTTCATAGGTTTTTGCCTAGGACTATTTTATTTATTGTGACAATGGTCATAGAGATTAAAGAACTGTTATGTACTCCAGAAGATGCCTGCAAAGGTGGGTGATACACCATTGCAGGGAAATATCCCTGTTCTTAAAAAAAAAAAAAAAAAAGTGTTGGAAATAAATCTGAAGCATTCATAGCACTCAAGTGCCAGAAGTCACTTGGTACAGTAAAGCCATTGGCTTCTGCACAAGCTCTGAAACAATTTCTCTTCATCCTTCAAGGACTCTTCTCATGGGCTGCTGCTATGGATGCAGCATTTCCTTCCTTGAGGTCAAGACGAGACTGGTGTTCTTTTTCCTGTGGTTGCTGTTAATATGGCTGAGCCTTTCTTGTGGTTCACTGATGCACTGGAGGCAGTGCTGCTTACCTCGTGCTGCTTTGGCCATATGTCATTCCTTTCCCTTTGTACCACTCTGGTGCTGCCTTGGCCGTTCTACATGAAAACTGTACCAGCAAAACCCCCAAAATCTGGCTTACTGATCTGAGCTGGCTCACCACATAGCCAGGTGGGCAGCAGAGACAGTGCTAGTGGGGACTGAAGAGAGAGAATGGGAGAATGAGATCTGCCCTTTTGCTTGCAGTGTGTTTTATTTGTCTCATCCAACCATATCCTTACTGGGACTGATGACAGTAAGAAGGGGGTGACAGTGTGGCCATGTCTCCTTTTGGATTCATGCTGTAGGCCAATTCATTTACAAATTCAAGTTCAGAATGATGAAATGGACCTCTGTCATTTTATTACTAAGTCTGTGAGGTTGCTTTGCCATAGACTTATCTTTCCATGTATTTATAGAGACAGATTGGAGGAGATACCTTGCTTCTGCTAAATGAAATTATTACTGAGGTTTGGCCTCACTTCTGCAACAGAGCAGTGAATCATTTAAGAAAGGTACACGTTTTTTGCCTTCCTGTGCCTTGATATTTGACTAATAAGCAAATTTAGGAGGAACAAAATTTAGGTGCCCCTGATCTATATAGGCAGTAGAAGAAATCATTCTTCTTGTAAAGGCACTCTAACCTGGTTTTGGATTGGCCCGTTCTCCTCATTATCCATAGAAACAGAAGAAAACAAGTAGTTTCCTGTACTTTTAAGATTCACATTTGAGAATATCTCCCTCTACAAACAAATGCAAAAGGCATTGCATGTTTCAAGCTAGGATTAAAGAGAATGTGAAAAAAAAAAGTCCAACTTCACTCAAAATAATTATGTTAGTCAGATAATGACATATAATTTGAAAATTACAAGATTTGCTAGTTTCCAAAGAAATGTCAAGACAAGTGCAGTGCTTCTAAAGAGCATTTATTGAATCAGCGATCCTGAGAAGGTAGTTTACTAAAATAAAGATGAGACTTTGGTTCCCTTAGACAAAGCTCCTGCCTTTCAGGTGTAGTCTCTTGATTCTTATACAGAAAATCTAAACGTTACAGCAAATTTATTACTTTTACTTTTTAAAGAGCCTGAGAACATGTTGCTTTCGTCTACTCAGTTTCCAGCAGAGGGAGCTTTGCTATTACATTTAGTAAGAAAAACAGCTTTAATCAATATTTTTCATCTACAATCTGAAGAATTATGAGACCATTGTGATTTTTTATGGTGTGAATTCATGACATCTTAATATGGAACAATTTAAAGGGGACAGAAAGGGCAAACCCTTTCCTAGAAAGAACATTTCCATATGTAGTGTTACAGTACTTCATCATGGTTCCTTTGAAATCAGAAAGTTCAATGTAAGTTAGTAGGTGTACTATGGTAGTAACATGGAATCTGGTCTCTTTGCTTTCTCTTTCACTGACAGTAGTGAAGGATTAGTTTGAAGGAACGGTAACATAATTTATTTTTCATATTTCTCCAGTTTGTGGCTGCTCTGAGAATTTGGTTGCACAGTATAAACTACTTTTATGGGACTGAAACTTGCTTTGCTATTCCAGTTGCCTTGCTTCCTTGACACAAAGAAGTGCTCAAAAATTCTTTGTGGATTGTTTTCCATTCAATTCCACACATTCTGCCATGGGTGCCTATTCCTCTCTTACTTTTGAAGGTGGTGAGATTTTTGACCTGATGGTGTTGTCCCACAAGTGGAGCTGTTTACCCAGTGTACAATACACCAATATACACACAGAGCAGAGGTATTTTTTTTTTATTTCATGTTTGCGCAAAGATGGGTGCTAGGTGGTAATTCTACAAAGCCAGCACACCGCACACAGGCAAGCGACATATTTATACACTTCAAACTATACGAATAAATGTTTGTTGTAATGACCAGTGGTTATTTTCTTATCACTTTGTACCTCATTGGTTAATAACGTGCCTTGTCTCAATTTAAAGTTAGTCTTTTTATTATTCTGCGCAAACTCAAACGGGAGGCGGGGGGACGGCAGGTCTTTTTGGTCTTAATTTGAGCGGTGATCTCCTCCTGCTGTCTTTACATTTCCCCCAGTTACCATAGATTTTTGCTGACTTTATGCTCCTTTGGCAATTACTCAACTTTCAGCACCTTCTGGGCAGGATGTTCCCCTGTTATCAATCTTTTAGTGTCTCCTCAAGGGCATAGTCATTAGTAAGGCTTTCATTGTTCATCCAAAGTAATCAGACTTATGTAGTAAATCCATGTCTCCCTGTCCTCTTTAGATTTAAATGCAATATATCTAATTCTGAATTAAATAGTGTCTCTATAATTTAGTCATTTACCAAACATATGGTTTTACACTGGTAGCATTTTCATTTGTGCAGCAGAGGCAGGCATGCTGTGTACCATGTTCTTAACAAAGATTTAACTATATATTACTCCCAGGCCTCAGGTATTTTGCTTTATTTAGAATATTTTTTGTCCTTCTCAATCTTTCCCAGGTTTTCATAACAATTTTTCAAGTATTTAAGCAGTACTTCTCTAGCTTTTCTTTTGTTGCCTGCATGCAGAAGAAAAAGGGTCAGGGCATAAAATTCTAGGAAAACTCCATTTCCCGAAAAACCTTAGTCTTTGAATTTTGCTTTTCAAGCATGACCTCATCAAGATTTCCAAGCTTCACAGCCTTCCCCTGTTGTGATGGAGTGCCAGGGATGGACACACCAAGAATCTTTATTGCTTTGGATAAACTCTTATTCTTTTTCCTGGCACAGCCAGTCCATTAAACGGACAAAATATAAAGGTGGAAAGATGATTGTTCTGTCACGAGATAACATAATTTTAGTGTTCTCTGTTTTTAATACAGGGCTGATTTGGTAGCTGTACAGAATATTGATACCTATTCTGTTATTGTTCCAGTCTCTTCTTACATACAAATTAGTACTGATTTAAAGAGGTCTAGTCTATTAAGTTTAGGGTCATGCAGGTAACCAGAAATGAAGATGAGACTATGGTACTTGTAAATGCACATATATGTAAACATGTGTTCTTGTTTTAATTGCAGTATATAAACTCCCATTAGCTGATATTTTGTATACATGGGATAAGTGAATTATTTTGCAGTTATGTTAGAAAATATACTGCATATTGAACCATTCAACATTTTTTTCTGTATATATTTTAGTGCTTCATTTCCTCTTATTTTGTTGTATTTTTTATTGATAAATGTAATTAATTAGTTGATACAATTTTTAACTGACAAAACATTGCTTTTTTGATGCTGATGTCATTTGACATCCATTTGGCTAATAGCGGGTTATAATATATATATATCTCAGCATATTTGTTGTTAACTTTGCCTGTACATTTTCAGAGACAGATGTATATACTTTTGGACTTGGACAATATGGGCAGCTGGGACATGGTACTTTTATTTTTGAAACTTCAGTACCGAAGTCTGTGAAACACTTGAGAAGGCATAAAATATGTAACATTACATGTGGGGAAAATCATACTGCTGTCATAGCAGGTATGTGAGTGAAAAATTCTGAAATGCACTTCCAGTGACTCTCTCTGATACTGTAAAAGCTTTCTTTATAAAATGAGCAATAGAAGAAGACATATGCAAACTTACTAATTCTAAAGGCTGTGAGCTAGTGAGAAAGCCAGTTTCAATATCAGGAGTTTCTGATTCACAGCCATGCCATGCATAGCTCTCCCAGTATCTCCTGGGGAATTAGAACTTCATAAGCGTGCCTTGCTAACAAGTATTCTTGTTTAGAAGCCTTTTTTTTTTTTTCCTATACAATTTCAATCTTATTATTTTATTGTTGTTTTTTTTTTTTTACAAATTGTTTAGATGAACTCTCATCTCAGACTACTTTGCCTGAAAATGTACATATTTTCTGATCATATTCATCTGTTGAAAATCTAAAAAGAATTGTTCAGGTTTTGCTTTTGGACGAGAAATATTCCTTACTTGCATGGCCTGTTACTTTGTAATGGTTTTGTCCTGGTTTTGTATTGAATCTTTGTTATTAATAACATCCTTTTCTTTCCACATACAGAGAATGGCCTCATGTTTACTTTTGGAGATGGGCGACATGGCAAGTTAGGCCTTGGAGAAGAGAATTTTACAAATCAGTTTGATCCCACTCTGTGTTACAATTTCTTGAGGTTCACAGTCCTTTTGGTAAAACTTTTGTTCATGCTTCTCAGACATCAAAATATTTCTCTTTTAATGAAACACATTACTAATGAGAGTTGAAATCTCATTATAGAATTATTTCTATAACATTTACTTAGTAGACAGCACAAATTGAAAGAAAAAGGAAATTATAATTACTATACTGTTCATGTAGTTTAGAATTTATTTGGCTTGGACTACACATACAGACTGCTTTTTAGGGTTTTATTCGGAAGTGTGCTATAGTGTTTTGGTCTACAGAGTTGTGGTAGCCTATAATATTAAGTATTTGTTACTCTTAAGTTGTTGGCAGCAGGGGGAAGCTAATATCTGTTCTGAAAACATCAGAATGTGATCTTTTTTTAATGTTAATGATTATTTGTACAGTGGGAGAGTTTTAAAGCTTAAGAAAATTTGAGGGGTTGCTTTTTTGAATCCAAACAGGATGAGAAAGCAGAAATATGCTTTTCTTTTAAGGGCATTGTTTTCATCTATTTCTTGATTACCAGCATCAAAAATACAGTCCTGAGTCAAGATTGAGCAAAATTTGGGACACAAGTCTTTTGATCACTTCTGTTTGTTTACTGGACTCAAGAGTTTAAGAAAGTTTTATGAGAAGTGGTAAAGGTTTTAAAGTTTTTAAAACATAAATATCTGATCTTTATGTAAAAATGCTTTGTTGGAGGGTGTAGGACTTGCTTTACATTTTGTGGATTTTGTGATAAAAAATCTAGGTTTATATCACTGAAGCTATTAGTATTGCCCACATTTGACTTGCATCAAAATAATTAGCTGAAATCCCTTGAAAATCAGTGGAAATTGCTTTCTTCTGTATCAGTAATTTGAAAGAGCTATCTTGTGTTCTGTTCAATACAAATATATTGTGTTTAAGTAGGAAGAAATGAACATAGATCAGTAGTCATTAATAAATATAATTAAGTACTTTTATCTTGCTAACGTCATTAGGACCTGAATTTGAAGCAATTTAATATCTCTTAATTTTATTATGTTTTTCTTATAACCTACACCCCTAGAGATGGTTGTAAGAAAATGAGATCCTTGTATTGACACATGCAAGTGAAATAATCAGACCTTTTTTTGGTGCCGTAGGTTGCTTGTGGTGGTTGTCACATGCTAGTTTTTGCTGCTCCAAGACCTAAAGGATCTGAACAAGTGGTCTTAGAAGATTTGTATGAGAGCCGTTTGACTGCTACTTTTTCTAAAATGAGTGGAGACTCACTACTAGCAAACACCTTACAACTAACATCAGCACGAATGAGACGTCGAGAGAGGGTAAATTCAGAGCTGTTTGGAGTTGCCATACTTTTAGGAAAGCTAAAATCACAGCATATACCAGGAAATAATTTTATCTCCTTAAAATACATGTTTAATTTTAATATATAAAAAGAAGAATGAGTATCTGCCCTGGCCACAAAATTGATGCAAGAACAAGATAGGTATTGGTCAGATTTTACTCGTTTATTTCTATGAAAAAGACTCAAATTAATTTTATGGGTGTTTTTTAATTCTAAAATGTAGACCCTGTTCCTTTGCATTTTTAAAAATATCTTAGAAATATTTTTTTAAAAAGAACAAGAACCTGACTGGGTTTTGTTCTGATTCCTTGAATATATTCAAAAAGTTGCTTGTTTATAAAATATTAAAGGAGAATGTTTCACAATCAGCTTGAAATGATCCTAAGATCCTGTGGCTACTTAAAATAGCAGTTTCTTCTTTATCTCCACTACACATTCCATGTCATTTTCTTGAGTGGATCTTTTCACTTACCTGTTTGAAAACTAACTCTACCACAAGACCACATTAATTTTGTAAAAATATATTTATATTGTGGATTAAATACCTTAGTGTTATTCAAGACCTGTATTTTAATGTTAAATAAAAGTCAAAGTTCTTTTTCTCTTTTGTCTATATTTTAAGACTGCTTGAGATTTTTGTTTAGTAATGAACTAAAATGTCCCACTATGTAGCTCTCCACTTTTTAGGACTATAAATAATTAAAATATCAAAGAAAATTTGTTTATGCTTTGTATACGAAGTTACAACACGGTATCATCATCTAAAAGAAAATACCACTGTTAAGTATGAGAGGCTGCTTACATCTTTTTTTTTCTACTCTTACTCTTAATTTTTTTTATTCTTCTAAAGGAAAAGTCACCAGAACAGTTTATTCGAATGGCACGAACTCTGCCTCCACTGGGAGAAAGCTTCTTAAAATCTTCACTACCTGTGACTAGCAATACTAGCCAACTCTATTTTTCTACAAGTCTTCCTAAAGCTGAACCTATGAAGGATAGAGACCATAAAAAAGGTGAAGTGTCCACACATCTTGCTACTGTTTTCTGATAATTATGTAGTTTGTAGTTTGTAGTTTATCATTCATAAACAAATGCCCACTTTGAACATGGAAGGTTTACGTTCAGTCTTACCTCAAGAGGGTCTGGTAGCATAAAGACACAGAAGTTGAGAAATGCATACAAGAAATTGCCTCACATTGTTCATGTTTGGAAAACATGCTTAGACATTTAGAGGAGCATTGAGTGAAAGAAAAACAACTTTTAAATTGTACCTATGGTTCCTCAAGCCTGTAGAAATAGGACTTCACAGAAACACTGTAAGATTAGTAACTGCTTTCTCTATTTTCACAAAAAAGAAAAATCATTACAGAAAAAAAATTATTAGGAACAATCTTAAAGACACACAAAGACCTACAAGACACCTTGGATAAGAAAAGAGATCTACTAATTCTTACAGGATCTTTCTTCTTCACTTGGAAATTCAGAAGTACTCTTCACTCCCTGTTATATAAGATAATAAGGATTTGCAATATTCTAGCTAATGCCAAAAGCTAGGATAACAATGAAACTGATACACTGCTGGACTTTTGCATAGATTCTCTAGAGCAGTTCTGGACTTCAGCTGGGTTCCTGGGCACATGTGATTTCCTGGGAAGAGCAATGCGGAAGAGTGTAGAATGCAGTGTTTCTGTGTAAAAGTTAGCTAAGATTTATTGGACAGTCAAATGCAATTTGAAAGTAATTAATTCAGTTAGAATTAAGTGATTATTTGTAAAGCTGCCAGCATGTCCATTAGCATTTCTGGTTCCAGGAAAACAATGCAATTAAATTTGTATTGCCTTTAGAGTCTTCTAAGGCCTAAAGCCTCAGGTTTTGCGCCATGTGAAAATGGTTTTGTGCCTGATGAACTTAAGATACACCTCAAAATGATGTAGGTACATTTTTATGATGCTGCATTGCAGTTAAACTCACTGTGTCTCCATCCATCCACAGATAATGTGCAATGTAGATAACAGGGCTTCAGCTAATTTAGTCTTTTTGGTACACTATTATTAAAAGGATTAACCAAAAGAAGCTTTGTCCCATGTAATATTTATGCTTTGCATAATACCTGCAAAAATGGTCAGAGATCTACAGTGTACTGAGGCCAGGTTGCTGAGCTAATGTAATAATGACAAAAAGGAGGTGGAAGTGTTTCTGCTATGTCTTGGGCTGAGGGAATGATAAATCTCAGGACTTCAGTCTTATGTCAGTAAAATAGAGATAATCCCTATTTTACAAGAGTCGGCGTTCTGTTTGGTATCTATTGCTTGTTCCTGTGGCATCTGTTTACTTCTCCCTGTTTTACCTTGAAGAAAAGAATCATCAAAAAGATAAACCTGGTGAAGGCTCTGCAGAAGAAGATTCAGATAATGAGAATAATGACAGAAACCTTGGACATACAACTGACATCCTAAATATGGTAATATATTCCACTAATGAATCTGTGATTCGATCATTTTTATGCAGGGGAAGAACAAAGCATCTAAATCATGTTTCAAGTTCTAGTACAGAACTCCTGGCTAGCTCAGAAAGTCAGAAATACTGACATACTCTTAAATGAGCATGCAGGTAGTGCAGCCCCTCCCCATGCTTTAGCTCTGGATATCAGAAAGAAAAGGAAAAGGATAGTGCATACCACATGGTGATCTCTGTCTCTGACCTTCTTCTTGATGATTTCCAAGAAAGTTAGTTGCAGGAAATGAAGCAGAGAGCTGTCTTTTCCTGTTCTAAGAAGAGCTTTTTGAGTACACAGGTGGATTGTATTAAAGGGAAGACTAAAATACAGACATTTTGATTATTTGGTGATCCCCTAACATGTTCCTACCTATTTCTTTTATTTAAAAAATATGTTCCCTTATCACTTGAACACCTTCCCAAAACATTTTGTTCTTTTGGCAGATAGGGCATGTCCTGGCCTTAACACAGTTCACTGCAAAGACTGCTGGGGTTTGTCTTTTTTTAAACTTCAATGGAATGGAAACAAATGAGCAACTGTGGACTCAGCTCAGAATATGTTGTCAGTTATGCTGGAGGGATTGCACATTTTACAGTAATTATTACTTGTTTGTACTTAATAGTACTTAGTAATTTAAAAATCTGTGCATACTATTTATTTAATAGTTATAAGACTTTATTTTCATTTTCAAGAAAAAAATTGTTTTCAGATGTGATGCACAATGTGGCCTTCATTCATTTACTGAAGCACTGTTTATAACATATTGCACACTTTATCTGCTAGTCTTCTTTCTCCTTTTCATTTTTGTACTCATCATGAGTCAATTTTAAAATGTTTATCAGAATGAAACTACATTTGAAAAAAGTCTGTCGAGCAAACTTGTCAAAATACAAAAAAAATGATTGCTCTTGAATCTGATTGAAAATAATCTGTTACAGCATAGTTTTTTCAGTTTTTCTAAACTGTGGCAACATACTTCTTATTGACAAGTGTGACAAGAGGACAAAAAACTTTCAATATCATATTGATGATACAAATTCTTGGGAGTCAGAGATCAAAACTGTCCATTCTCACTGTGTTGAAAATGAATGTGGTGGTTAAGCATAAGCAGTTAACAGACAGTAGCAGAGAACATTATCTTGTCATTTGAAGTGTATCGGAAGGGATGACAAAAATCTCACTATACTTGCCCACCTAGTAGTATTCTACATTGCCTTGCCTTTTGGTGTTTTTTTGCTTTATGTAGAAGAGATAAAGGCATTAGATTCCAATGAAAATTTCTGCTACATAACATTTCTTTGAACATGTTCTTTCAAGGCTGTGGTATCAAACTGGATGTTAAATTGAACGTTGTGAGGATAAGGGCATAAGTTGTTATATTTCTAGCCACAACATCATGGTGAAGTGGAAGGTGACTCTAAAATATGTTTGTGGGTTGTAAGCGAGGACATATAGCTTTCTGATTCTATAAAAAGTTTTGATGTTGACATCTAAGCTGGTTACCGCTCACTCTCTTTAAAAGCAATAAATGAGGGAATGGAAGTGAAATAGGTGAGTTGAGTGATCATACAGATTTGTCTCAACCTGACTGTTCAGTAATATTAAAACATTCATATAATAACTCTGTTTAGTAGAAATGGATTTTGATGCTGCTGCCTCTATTATATTTATTTTTTAATAGAGGTCTTATTTTTTGCAGACACATGCAATGAAATTGAATCCCAGTGACCAGTCATTAAAATTATCACCACTTCAAAAACAAAAGGTATTGTAACTAATTATATCTATATATGTATACTTATACTGATGTTTAAAAGATCTCTAGTTCTTGTATTATCCTTGTACTTATTGTTTTGCTTTGAGTTTTTTAAAAAGCTAGGCAAATTTTATTCGCCTTCTCTTGCTAATTTTCTGAATATCTATGAGTTAAAATCCTAAAAAACTGAAGTCAGAGAGAATTTGTGCAGGCATGTAGAACTCCTCATATCCAGCATAGTTTGAGATGACAGTATATAATACTTCACCAGTTTAAGGAGAAAGAGACTATTATATATAATTTGTAACTTAAGCTGATAAAATACATTTCTACTGTTTTTTTGATATTAAAATATTTTAATTGACTTCTGCAATACAAAGTAAGTAAAGATTTTATTTACAGATATTCACCATGGAGTATATTTAAAGGAGCAATAATAGTGTTTTTAATTATTGAATTAAAATTCTTTAGTATTATGTTTCTGTTTCTCTTAAAGTGATCCCAGCATTTCAGAATTTTGGTATATTTCATTATAATTTTTATTTTATATTTTAAATTTTTTTCTGCAGTATTTGTTAAATAAGTGTAAATTTTAAAGCAGAAAGATAACAGATTTTCAAACTTACTAGAAAGAGCATAACAGTGAGTGCATCAGAAGATTTCCCAAGGGGAAATGTGGAGGAAGGTGTAAGAGAGCTGTAGTTCACACAGCCTCATGCAATTGCATGTTCTTTAGCTTATGGGACATGATACTGGCTGCACAGTTATTACTGCATTAAATTTGCTTGGATAGTGAAAAAGCTATAGTAGTACATTTACCATCAACTTAATGTTACATTCTTCTAATATGTGCACTTGTAAATTCATTTCATGTAAAATGCTCTACCTTTTGTGCTATGTCTCAGTCCTGTCACACAAATTGTTTCTTTTCTTGTTTAGATATTTTTTAAATCTTTTTCTTTTGCTGTCATTTGTCCTTAATGCTTTCCTTCTTTCTTTTTAATTTTCTGCTTCTCATGTGGAATAGAAGAACAATAAAAATGTGAAACTGAAAAGAGATGGTAAGGGTGGGCTGAAAAACAAGGATTCTGATTTCATGAAGGAGGGGTCAAAATCAGACTCTGGCTCTTTACAAAAGGAGTCTTCACTTTCAGAGTCACCAGGACAAGATTTAGGAAAAAGTAGTGCCTTTGTAGGAAAGCCTGTGGCCAATAAAAATACAATGAAAGGTAAATCTGAGCATGCACAAAGTGTTAGTACTTTTGGAAGTGGTGTTCAACAAATTACTAGGGACAAACGCAGATTAGTGAAAAGGGAAAAAGAATATGTGGAAAATATTGAATTCATCAGAAAGGATGTAACTTACAATCTTCCCACTGAAAAACAAATTCTGTCTGAAAAAACAAATTCTTCCAATAAAAAGTCAAAAGTTGTCAAATCTAAGCAGTCTCTTAAAATAGATGTACTTCCTTCTGCATCTAGGGATCAGCCCCAGACGGATTCATTAATTGTACAAAAATACAATCCTATTAAAAATCAAGGAAGTCAAGAAGCAATAGAAAGTCAAAACAAAATAAAAGATGCTGTTGAAAAATCCGATAAATGTGAAAGCATATGTGTCAGAGAAGAAGAAAGTCGTGAAGGACAGAGAGGGTTTAAAAAAAAGGATCAATTTTTGAAACAAATAGCTGTAAGTATGTCATCATCTTCAACTGAGGAAAGTAGTAATGATCTTCCAAAATATATACTTAAGAGTAGGGAAAAAAAAGATACCTATTATGAAGGCAAAGAGGTCCAGAAGGCAGTGAAAACAGTACAGAAATTGAAAAATTTGGACTTCGAAAAAGAAGACAGTGAGATTGAGGAGTTGCAAGCTACAAACAATGAGAAAGAATATGTAGAAAGGACTGATATAAAAAGCCTGAATGAAGAAGAAACAAACTCTGAAGCTAAATCTGATGAAGACATGCAGTTACAAATTAAGAATGAGGAGGAATCTAATCAGGAGAGTGAAGGCAGTGAAAAGGGTGAAAATGTAAAAGAAAAACTAGATGAAACAGTTGACAGTGAAGGTGAACTAGGGGAGGAAGAAGAAGAAGAGAGTGAGGTTAAAAAAGGTAGAGATGAAGTTTCAACAGAAAGAGATGAAGAGGAAGAAGATAATGAGGAAGAAAATGAAAGAGAGGAGTCACAGGCTGAAAGAGACAGTGAGAATGAGGGTGCAGGAGAGACTGAAGAGATTAATCAGGAAGATGGCAAAGAGCAAGAATATGAAGTTGGGTTGGTGGAGGAAGAAGACATGCTGAGTGAAGGAGAAGAAGATATGGAGGAGGAGTATGCAAAAGAGGAAGACACTGAAAAAGAAAAGGAGGGACAGGTTAAAAGTGAGGGAAGATACGAGAGTGAGGAAGGAGGTGAAGATAGAGAGGGGGAAGAAGAAAAAGAGTTAGAGGCGGAAGAGGAAGGAGGTGAGGAAAAAGAAAATGAAGAAGAAAACAAAGAAAGGGAGAATGAAAAAGACAAAGAGGGTGAAGAGGAGGAGTTAGAAGAATCATTGGCAGAAAGGGAAGAAGAAGAGGTATCCGAAGAAGAACAGGAAGAGGAAGTTACAAATAGGAGGACTAAGGAGGTAGGGGAGGATGGACTGGAAGAAGCAGGAGAAGAGGGGGAGGATGAAGTTGAAGAGGAAAGAGAAGATGATGATGAGGAGGAGGGAGCAGAGGCAGAAGCAGAAGGGGAGGAGGGGGAAGAAGATGAAAAGGAAGAGGAGGGGTGGGAAAATGAAGAAGTGGAAGGGGAAGGAGAGGAAGTTGAAGAAGAGGGAGGTGTTGAAGAAGAAGATGGAGCAGGAGAGGAAGAAGAGGGAGAGGGTGTGGAAGAAGATGAGGGAGCAAGGGAGAAAGAAGAAGTGGGAGAAGGAGTGGAAGAAGAGGAAGAAGGAGTGGAAGAAGATGAGGGAAGAGGGGAGGAAGAAGGAGAGGGAGAAGAAGGAGTTGAAGAAGATGAGGCAGAAGAGGGAGTCGAAATGGAAGTGGAAGAGGTAGAGGAGGAAAAAGAGGGAGAGGAGGAAGAGGGAGAAGAAGAGGGAGGGGAGGGAGAAGAAGAGGGAGGGGAGGAAGAAGACAGGGTAGAGGAAGAGGAGGAACAAGAAGGGGAAGAGGGAGATGAGGAACAAGAAGGGGAAGAGGGAGACGAGGAACAAGAAGGGGAAGAGGGAGAGGAGGAACAAGAAGGGGAAGAGGGAGACAAGGAACAAGAAGGAGAAGAGGGAGAGGAGGAACAAGAAGGGGAAGAGGAAGAGGGGGAAGAAGCAGAAGAGGAAGGAGATGTGGGAGAGGAGGAAGAAGAGGATGAGGGAGAGGAGGAAGAAGAGGATGAGGGAGAGGAGGAAGAGGGAGAGGAAGAGGAAAAATCAAAAGGTAAAAGAAAAAATTATAGTAATAAGCTTCCACAAAATAAAAGCAAAACCAGGAAGCCAGAGAAGACAGAAAGTTCTGCCTTACTAAACAGCTCTAGACAAAAAATGAAGTCCAAACATCATGTAGCAAATGGTTTACATAATTCAGAACAATTTTGGAACAATGTGCTACCTCATTATTTAACACTGAAGTAGCACAGTCTACTGGAGATGCATTTTAAGGCTATTCAGGAAACTTTAGAACTATGGCAGGTTGATTTTATTACATTAAAAAAATTAATCTAGTCAAAATATATTATGATGCATATACTTTAAGTGCCAATTTATGGAAAAAGACTGAAGAAAATGTTTAGATTTTGTAAGTTTCTGTCAGAGAAATCATACAAATTTTTGACACAGTCATTTACACAATCATCTATCACATATGACAGATTAAAAAAATAACTGGTGAGGAGGCAAAATGTGTTTGCCTCTTAATTAAATTATAATGTCATGCTGGCAACATGAATTATACATTGTAACAGTGTAATCTTCTTTGCCTCTGAATCAGATTTCTTAAGATAATACATCAATTTTAGTTGCAGGATAGCTTACTAGTTAATGTGCCTTATCTGAAAGGAGTGTTGGTAAATTATCAAAGATGCATATTTTTAAATTTTGGTATCACTCTATATTCATTCTCCCTACTTTTCTTCTGTTCATATATTAGTAAAATGTTTGCATACTCAGCAAATTAAAGGACAAGTTGCCAAATTGGCATGGGTTGGTAGATGAGAGGTAAATGGAAATGCAGGCCTGGGTAAATGGAAGCCTGGGCTTTTTCAAAGGCCTTAAGGTTGACTTTTTATTTTGGTGTCAGCACACAATTATATGCAAAAAGACAAGCACAAGTCTCAGAATCTGGCCTAGATTACATTAGAATCAGAATGCATCTGTTTAGGGATAATTTTTTACTATAACATTTGATGATGAGATGTAATTAAGAATTTGAAAATATTTATTGTTTTTATATATTTATGATTATTTACTTGTTTATACTGTACAATACACAAAAGATTCTATATCTGCCTACAAAAGACTACATTACATTAGTCATCTAACTAATGTTCTCAAGGAGGGGGAATATTTTGTTGCAGTGTGAAGTGTAAATATGTTTTCAGGATCAGAGCCTAAGCTTCTCCTCATTGGAGGAGATGTGTGTTTTTCCCTCCTAAAAATCACATCTGTGATCTCCGAAAAGAGGACCGTTTAATAAACCAAGAAGCCAGATGGAATAGTAGAGAAAGTGGCATGAAAGTCTGAGTTCTTTTTGGAAAAGACAAATTATGTTAATACTTCTGGAGTTTCCTTAAAATACACAAGCAAATCTTGCAAGTTATTTTTGTGAGGTGTTGCATTACTGTCTCAACTATTCGTGGTCAAACTGGCAAAAGAAGGGGTAGGGACTCATCATACAGTATTATTACTTAAATACTATGCTAATGAGTGGTCTGAGAAATTTTTGTAAACAGATCTCCATATTGACATTCTCTAGAAAAATAGTTATTTAAATCCTATGTGAAAATAAGGACAGGAGAAGAAAGGAATCAGAATGAGTAAATATTATTCAATAAAAGTGTTAATGAAATCAATACTTATGTTGAGATGATGAAACATTTTTAATGTTGTTTTGTAACATACTGGCATTAAACTATCTTTGACACAGTGTCTGCAGAATTTATTTCCTAAAAAGGCTGTAGTAGATTAATAGTTTGCCAGTAGATTCTAGTCAAGTTTGAGTCTTCCTACCGCAGTCACCCCGTCTTATACTGCATTTGAAGGTAAGATCACTTTCAGTCATGTGCTGTGCCTAACTATAATAGAAAATTAGTCCAGCGACTGTATTTTGTCCCTGTGAAATCTGTTTTAAGCTTTGGGATTTTCTGGAATACATTGTCTTGACATCAGCATGTGTAAATCTTTGGAAGAGGGTAAGTATCCTCATGTTCTGGTAGAGTGGAATATTTTAACAGTTAAATGCACTTTCCAAAAAAACAGCTCTCTATCACTGTGGAGTCCTTGGTTATTTCACAGAACTGCTGCATTATCACTGAACTGCTCTGAAAATTCTTACTTTTGAAACTAAATGGAGCTAGAGCTGTGTTATTTTATTTTTCTTAGGAAAGATTAGGATGTTACTGTGACTAAACCTAATTAGAGTAATATTGAAAAGTATTTTTATAGGCCTAAACCCATGTTTCTTAGATATGACATCTACTTATCTGTGATTCTAAAATTCAGCTTGGAAGAAAACGGTGCTGTGAAAAAAATCTGTTATTTCTTGTGAAAAATATTTGCTAGACAGAGGGGGAAAAAAGTGAGAGCACTGTGAAGCAAGTGATTCCAATTCCACACAGGAATATCTCCACATTTACTATTTGTCTGTAGCTTTTAATCTAAATCCTTAGGCAAATGGGGACCATTTGTTGTACATCTCCTAACATGCGCTGATAGCATAAAGCTTCTCAGGAGAGTAAAGGAATCCAAGTTATGGGCATCTCCTCTTCTTTGTTTTGTCTGGATGAAAATTCATTGCATTGAGAACTGATTTTACATTGTTTTGTGGATCATTCCTGTGGTAAGGGAAAAGCAGAGCATTACTCCAGCACTTCTAAGGGTTTTCCACAGAATCATTACAGAAATGGTACACTGTGCCAACGTTTCTGGGCTTTGGGGGGACTTTGGAACTCCATTAGCGTAGTGAGTGGAATTTTATTTAGTTTGACTCATACTGGTTTATAAAGTTTGGTACTTGTGGTTTTGTGGAAATTCAGTGTGTCCTTGGTATTTATTATGGGATACAAAAAGATTTATATGCAGTATTTAAGAAACATGGCAAAAGTACTCCTGAACTAGTTTTTAGTAGAAAAAATCCCACAATAGAGAAAGAAAACAACAGACAATTGCTCAGTCCAAAGGTCTATTTAGTCCAATATTTTTTTTCTGTCAGTGGCTACTGGTAAATGCCTGGCAAAAAATACAAAAATGGAGCACATGTGTAGCGTTACTTCTCTTGTGTAATTGTTCAGTATACCAAATATATTCAGTATATTCAATAATTTGTGGTTCAGCAGATATATTATGTTTAATAGCCATTTTTTTTCCATTAATTTCTTTCAATCAATTTTTAACCCATTTGACATCCAGTACATGCTTTGGCAGACAATTCTTATATTACTTTACACTTTGTTGGAAGAACTAACTCATTTTTTTGTCTTGAATCTGTCTTTTGGTACCTTCATTTGATGTCTCTGTATTCTTGTATTAGAAAAAATAACATCACAAGCAATCCCTCTTCGTGATTTATTCACTCACGGTTGTCACATGGAAAAACTGTTCAGCCATGTGGTTTAAATCAAATCAAGATCAAAGTGGTTTATTGATTTATTAATAACAGTTAACCAGCAATCAGCCAACTACCCATTCAAGATCAAGAGCAGCAATAAAGCAGGTAACAACAACACTAGGCATTGATAAAATGTTAATAAGCACCTGCAAATTTCTGAGCACCCTTCTGCAGCTAATCTCAGAAATTTTAATCCCCCTGCACACTCTCACATATGTGTTCACAGAATTACACATGCACATACTGACTTTTATAGCAGTCATGAATTACAAGCATATATTCCATTTTTGGGGAGCAGGGTGCAAGTTTGCTCTTGCCACACAGCTCCTGTTAGAGATGAGGGTGCTCTAGATTTGCTTTGCACATGCTGTAGCATAGTTCTTCTGTGATGCCTGCAAAATTTCAGCAAGTAAATTTTTCCATTATATCTGAAAATATGAAATTGTTTATTCAGATAATAATTATCTCTGCATAATTGATGCTGAATAACAAAAATGTCTTTCTCCAAACTATAGAACATGTCTGGTTTTCATTCACTGCTTTTTGTCCCAGTGTCTTATCTAGATAAATACATGGTTATTCTTTAGAATGAGACCTTTAAGAATCATGCAGAAAAGGACATTCAGTTTTTGTTTCCATTACTTTTAGGTTTTTTTTCCTAGCTTTTCTTAGCGTTAGCCATCTTTTAAGATAAATTCTAGCTTACTTTATCAAAAGATGACTCTACCTTCTAGATCTTACCTCTCAGAATAGCAAACAGTCTTTTATTTTTATTAATTGAATTTGTGGTGTGAATCTAGTAATTTAACAAAAGTACTGTTAAATACTATAAAACAAATGAGTTTCTAAAGGCAGAGCATCTTTTTTAGTGCAATCTGAGTTTTTTCTTAGTGCTTATAGGCTGTATTTATGAACAGTGAACTCACCTGAACTTCTGTGTATTATCTTTCATTTTATACTGCGTATTATGGGAAGCAGAATCAAACCTAGAAACAAAAGGATCTTCAGACAAAAGAATGTTGTCAGATCTGTAAAAAGGGGAAAAAAAGGGCAAAGTAAATGTAAAAGGGAAATTCTCAACTAATTTTTAAATGTGCAATTCAAATAAATGACAGCGTTTAGTACTGTGATACTCTTTGAGCAACTGAGCAAATACTTTGCTTGCACAAATGGCAAATGTACAGTTTTGTCCTCAGTGAAGTTCTGAGTGTGTTCATGATCTGAAGTCACTAATTGAGCTGTAATATTTTTATATACTTTTTTGTAATGGAGAGAGGAGAGGTTAGCTTCTGCATACTGAAAGGATTTTGGAGAGATAGCTTTGGCATCAGAAAATTGCACTGCTGAGAGCTACAGAGGCTTTATTTTTCTGTTGCCAGAAGAAAAAGAAAGTACACTTAATCGCTGTCCTTTTTCAGGATTTGTGATAGTGCCTATTGCTTCTTTTCTCAGCAACCTCATGCTATAGCAATCTGAACAAATATTAATCCTATTATGATATCTCGAAACCCCATACTTAGTTGTGAAAATATTTATTATCAGCACCCTGAAATATCAAATGTAAAGATATTTACCATTCTGGCTTTCATAAATGTCCCAGCATTGAAAAATCAGACATCCCTCTCTTTCTGTCTGAGATTGCTTGCAGGGCAGTCTGCTGGAATGTCCCAGGTTCATCATTACAGATTTAGAGCTTTGTAATTTCTCATGAATTTCACCTTTCACACCGAGTTGCATTTGTGGTTTGTGTGAAATGTGAAGTATTTATGGGTTCATAGTGAGAGTGAGAGAGTGAGCTACACAAAGGTAGCTCTAAGCAGAATTTTATATTAAACAAAGCCTTTATCTGCAGCTATACTTGTATGGATATAGATCACAGTAGTATTGAAGAGAAGCATTTTCCACTCCCTGTGTACCAACTGATAATACAAGAGCCTGTGCTGTTCAACTGGGAGGTCAACAACAATGACAATCTAATATGAGTTTGAGATTGTGAGTCATCCTGGCAGAGGCTGGTTTTCTGACAGGAAGTTTAAAATACTTACTTTCATTCTAACCAAGGCACAAAATGACTCTCAATTAGAAACACAGCAGCAGAACTGCTCCAAAATTTAATCTCTTTTACTAGACACTTCATTGCCATCTCTAAGGAGAAGAACAAAGCAAACCTGAATGTGTCTTGTATCAAGAGTACAGAAAGAAATTAAGCCATGCTTTAAACCCAGCCTTCCAATAGCTGGGGTAGATCTTCCACAAGTGCCAGCATGATGTGGAGAACAATTGCATGGGGAATCTGATGGGACTTGTGTTGCTGACTTGTGTGTGCGCCTTGGAAAATCTACCCATACAAGATGAGAATGGGTTTAAAGATTATTGATGGTTGTGTGCGGAAATCACCACTTTTACATTAGAGTATTTTGAAATGGAGGATCTCCCCTGAGACACAGTGTTGCAGGCTGTGGGAGATTTTAGCAGTGACTTGTAGGGCATCTCTTTCAGGAGTGTATGGAGAACAGAGAATCTTGAAGAACCTTTCTTCATGCTGTGGTGTTACTGGTGAAAATTTGCCTTTTCCCATATTTTTATCCAAGCATTGAATAATAATCAGCATGATTAAGGCAGAATTTCAACAAAAAGCACAGGATTTTGGAGAGACATGCAGTACTCTATGTGGCACAATAAAAGCAGAAAGTAGTGACTGTCCTCATTCACTTACAAATAAGTGGGAGCTGCATGACAAACTCCAGACACTAGAACTTTTTTCTATAAGAATTCGGAAAAAATGCACAAACTGGATCCAAGTGTGGGCTAATTCCCAAGTTAGTTTTTCTCTGTGTCTGTTACATTAAGAATTCATTTTATTCAGCATAATATCTTCCAGAGATGCACTAAATTTTTGAGATAACATCAACATATTCCAATTTGGAGTTGCTCATTATATTTCATCTGTTTTGCTTAAGTACCCAGGAGTTATTTTGGTATGCTATTTCCCAGTGACTGAATATTAAAGGGTAACTATGTAAAGTAACTCATAAGAGATTATATTTGATGTAAACAGTCTCCAACTTGTTTTATGATTCTTCACCAAACACCTTAAAAATTCTTTCTAGTTCTATAGAGGTTTTTTTTTTTCTTTTCATCCTGGAAACTGATATTATTTATTTGTTCTTCAAAGAAAGCAAACTTTTGGAGAAGATAACAGTTTTGTATATGAAAGATGTGGTACATCTGAGCTATATCAGATGTTGATTTATCTTGGGGAATAAATAATAAAAAATTGTTCTGAATTGCTGGAGAAAGAGAATATATTTAAATTGGTT